AAAAAAAATGTACCATTTCACCAAAGGCAACATAGCTATACCCAGCACCGATCGACAGATAAAAACTGAAGACCAAATGCACTCTTCCTGAAGCAGCTAATTCTGTGTGGCAGAACCAAGGAAACATGCTGTAAAGATTTTTGCTCATTCATTTTCCCTAAGTGGGAATTAAAGCCAGGATGTCCATCAGGTTCTAGAATGGCCCATCGATAAAATTTACACACCAGTCCCTGAACAAATGTGAGGAGCTCACATTCACAAAGCTACTGTATTCCAGCCTCTCTCTTACTTGGATTGATCTTTACATCCACTGTTTTGACCATAACTGCATACAGTTGGTTTGCAGTTACTAATGAGAAGACTGACTTCTTTTCCAGTATTCAATCCAACATACGCAACTGAGTCACTGAGTAGTGGGGTCAAATGCCCCTTTTTTCCTCATGAGCTGTAACTCAGCACGATCGCAGCGCAGCAAGCATTTTCTCGCATACCGCAGCAGGGCTGAAAGTCTCCAAGAGAAGGTGTGTAAAGAGAGCAGATGTTTCCTGGGGTCTCTTTCCTCCCAAAACCTTTTAAGTGCATTTTTTTCAGCACTGTTTTATAGAATCAGCATCTCCCGTGATGAGATAAAAAGGTAAGGCTTACATTGTGTATCAGGAAAAAAAAAAAGTTTTTTTTCCAAAGAAAGAGAGGAAAACAGCAGATTAAAGAATTTCAAAAAAAAAAAAGGGGGGGGGAAGTCAAATAGGTAACATTCACATTTCAAAACATTTTGTTCATACTCAAGGAAGTTTAATGAAAAGTAAAAAAGGAAATCCAACACAAAGTTCTTTTACAAAACGAGATACACTCTTTAAACGTTAATCTTAAACTAACGGGGAAAGGGACTCCTGCGGGCAGATATTACCGTAGTGGTTGGTATTAGTTGCTTGGCTGTCTTAAGCATTCCCATTGAATAAACATTACCTTACCTTTGCTCTTGGCGTTGGATTCTGCCCAGCGTGACTGTCTCATTCTGATCGCAGAATACAGCCATCCTGAAAATTCTAAAGAACAGCTTCTGTCACTGGTTCCACTACAGAGAAACGCTCCCCACCCAGTCCAGTGTGTGACAGCACAAAGCAAGCTGCACCTGGAGCGGAACGGGACGAGTGGGACACTTACCTCGATGGCTCACCACTCCCCCCTGCCTAACGGATGGGCCCTCCGAGCTGTGCTCCGCTAAGATAGCAAGTTCCCCCCAGCCGCCCATCTCCCAAACAGAGAAACTAGTTCTGAGCTACTACAAAACATCCGCGTGTGTTCAGACCTGGAGTTAAACAGATTTTCTGTCCCTGCCCCATCTGAAAATGAAATGTTTGGCACCGGGTAAAATAGCAGCAATTGTACCTGCTGGATTTAAGAGGTCTTTTACCTGTGCTAGTGCATTCTGATGGTTATTGCAAGACAGTCTGATACAGGGAGTTTCTCTGAACAGGTTTTGAGTTTGGAAATTGTGCCAGATGCAGAGAGAGAGTGTGCGTGTGTGTGTGTGTGTGCGTGTGTTGGGGGGGGAAGGAGTAGGCTTTGGGAAGGATCTAATACCAAAAATGCAACCCCCCCACCCCTCCTCCAGCTATATCCATTAAAATGCTTGTTAGTGAACCTGCCACTATGCCTAGCACTCCAAATTCAGGGAAACTCAGTTCACAATGTTCAAGTTTGGAAAACGTTTAACTCCATTTTGGTAATTTTCACCAATGCATTCAGACAAGCCGAGTGCTTTTCCAGATCTCCCTTTTCACCTCAATAAAACTGAAAGGCTACGTCAGTCCAAGAAAGCACTGATAATTCAGAGGAGACAGCCCAGGCACATCACAAATGCATGCCACTTAAAAAAAAAAAAAAAAAAAAAAAACAAAAAACAGGGGGGAGGGGTGGTAAAGACTCATCTTTCATGCCAAAATGATGGAACCAAAAAGAGGAGGTTCCTCATTCAGAGAACTGAACAAGGTTGACTAGAAATAGGCAAATCTTTGAGGGATCAAAATTTTAGATTATCCAGACTGAGTGAATTGCAACCTAAAAACCCAGCCTATTAAAGTGTCTCTCTGTTAAGCAGTTTGGCTTTGACAGAGCAGCACAATTATTCTAAAGAAATTAGGGACAACCCTGCTGCAAGTTCTCTGCTAAAGATAAGAGCAGCTACCAGGACCCTGTAGTGAAACAATGACAGAAGCTCTTCTTGGGGGAAGCTGGTTCTGTTAAAATCTTCATCAGTTTTGGCAATTAACAGTACAACCAACCATTTGTCCAAGTGTTTTATAACTACCACAAGCTATTATCATTAATTATGACACTGAAAACAATATCACAAAAACAGACATTGTATTGCCTATTAAGAGGGAAAATTATGACACTGAAAAGAATATCACAAAAACAGACATTGTATTGCCTATTAAGAGGGAACAAAGCAAACATTTAAAAGATATGAAAAGCAGGAAAAAACATTTTCAAAAAGAGACTTTTAACCTAAGAGCGCATCCCAGATGTACTTACCGACAAAATGAACCTCCATCTTAACAGCACACTGAAACATGTACTACAAGCAGTAATACTGCTCCTACTCCTCAAGGGAAATTCGTAGAGAATAAATTTAGTCAAAATCTCAACTGTAAATCTGCACAGCATGTGCAACAAACAGGTGACAGGAAAATGGTGTGAATGTCAAGTCCCATATGTTGTACCTTCAGTACTACCTACAGTAACAAGTCACAGCTCCTACTGGCAATGCCATAGTTTAACGTTTCTCAGTGGAACCTGCTGGATCAATCTTTGTAGGATCAATAACTAAAGATGCAGATTTCTCCCGAGACCTGCTTTCTTCAATTTTTAAAGAATGATCGAATAATACCACTCCATTTCTTGCACTATTAAGGCCACTGATCTACAAAGTAATGTCTTTACCATATGAATTTTAGTTCCAAAATAAAAGTGTTACCTAAAAAAAAAAGTAGCAAAAGCAAGGAAACAAAAGCAAAACAAAAGCTTTATACAACCATTAATACACTAAGTCCACACCAGTTAAGGAAGGGCCTTACGCTATTCTCAAAACCAGAAAGAAAAGACAAATATATTTTTCCTTCAGGACATCTAAGCCCGCCCACTGTTTTCCAGAGACCTGGCCTTATGTGTCAAGCAACTGATTCACCAGCTGCAGGAAAGCTCTCTCAAAAACACCCATTTCTCTCAGCAAGAACCCCATTTTCCAAACTAACTAGTCAAAACGATTAATGACCCTGCAATGAAACCTTAACATGTTAGAGCTGGCCATGGGATGGAGCTCTTTGGGGATGTTAAAAAAAGGATGGATATTACTTACTGGTCCACTGAAGCCCGCGAGCTGTGTGATCATCAGACACACTATGGAAATGATGAGCCTGGTGCGGCAGAAGACCCACACAACCCTCCGGAGAGAAGCATCGTCAGCCCCCATTTCCTTCAGCTCTTCCTGCCACAATCTCTCCAACCTGAGAAGTACAAATCCTGCGATTAGACGCCTCAAATCAGGACAACAGACACTTTCTTTCATAGATGAGAAGCTCTTGTTTTCTCACAGCCTTCTCGGATCAAGTCATCAAGGTCCAAAACAAGTATACACAACACAGCGTATTCTGTGCAGCCAAGAGAAATAGTTCTATCCTGAATCACTATGGAATCTTTACAGTGAATCTATAGGGAAAAGGGCTTTTATGCTGCAGAGAGCTACAGAAAATTAGAGTGCTTCTTATTTTGCTTAGAGACTCTCTGGGAACAAGAATCTGCTGACCCACGACTCATTAGGTAGATGTTAGGGGCTGGAAGGAACCTTGCAGGAAGACAACTGGGGTTAGGTGACCCCAGCAAGGTGACTATTTACCTCTCCTCTTGAAAACCTCCAGGGTAGGTGACTGCACCACCTCTGGAGGGAGTTTATTCCACAGTCTGGACACCCTGACTAATGGAATTTTTCTTAGTATTAAGCCTGAAGCAGCCTTCCAGGAGTTTGTACCCATTGGTCCTGGTCTTCCCTGGGGGTGCCCTAGTGAACAGTTGCTCACCGAGCTTCTGATGCACTCCTGATCAAGTCCCTGATCATATGGGTGGCTTTTCTCCGGACCCTCTCAAGTTTTTCCACATCTTTATTCAAGTGTAGTGCCCAGAACTGGACGTAGTACTCTAACTGTGGTCTCACCAGTGCTGAATACAGCAAGAGTATCACTTCCTTAGGATTTACACAAGATTCATTGGTTGATGCACATCAGCGTGTTGTTTGCCCTACTGACCACTGCCTCATACTGACAGCTCATTCATAGGATGGTCATTCATTACCCCTAGGTCCGTTTCGGCCATGGTGCAAGTCAAGCTGTCACCACTGAGCTTGTACATGCGTTAAGAGTTGTTTGCCCTCAGGTGGAGCACCTTACACTTGAAAGTGTTAAACTTCATCTGATTCTGGTCTGCCCAACTCTCAAACCTGTCTAGGTCTGCCTGTAACTATCTTCTGACGTGACCACACTGCCCCATAACTTGGTGTCGTCCACGAACTTGGTCAGTGAGCTTTTCACTTCCCCATCCAAATCATTAATAAAAAATGTTGAAAAGCACCGGTCCAAGCACGGACCCCTGAGGGACACCACTGGCCACTTCACACCAGAATGACACGGATCCATTCATGAAAACTCTCTGGGTCCTACCTTGTAACCAGTTTCCCACCCACTGAACCATCAAGCAGCTGAGCCCACAACCTTCCAGTTTTCCCACAAAGATATTGTGGGATACTAGATCAAAACCCTTTGGCATTTGATCTCGCAATCAAGTCCTGGGGCCAAATGCTACAGTTCTTGCCCCACCTAAAATTCCCACTTGTGACAACAGTTTAGACTGACTGTAATTTTATTTTGCCACTAACTCAGCATTAAGTGCTTTCTGAAGATTCAGAATCTGGGCAGTGAGAGCGAGCTCTTGTTTGAAACACAAATGGCATTAATGTGCACTACTGCTCAGCTGATTTCACTAAAGTCAGAGACATTGCAGTGCCCCTTGTATCTCAAAAGGAACTGGCCCCAGGAGGGAGAATTAAGATTAAGTTTCCCTAATGAAGAATACTTTTGTGGCAAGTGCTGATTTTCAAAGGCTGTCAGGCATGCACCTATACTGGCTAACCTATAAACATCAGGGTACAGGGTATACACTAGGACATCTTTACCTTCTACAGTTGACTTCTGAAGACTCATGCTTTGACAAAGGCCACACATCATCCATAAACAACTCTCCTTTCTTGTGTGCTCTGCTGGCTAGAGGACTGAGCCATGAGAAGGTCATGCAGGAGAAAAGTCCTGCATTATCAACAGGGTGCTGGTGCCTGGAAGAGAAGATAGAAAATGACAACACCGTTAAAAAAAAGGAACATGACACCCTTAAAAAAAGAAAACAAACAAACAAAAAACCCACCACCACAACCACCCAAACATCTCCACTACAAGTATTGCATGCATGTGCTCAATGGTCTCCATAAAGGTTTCAACAGGTGACATTTGGGTATCTTTTGGTCAACTTCAGAGCTACAATCACACTTTAAACACCACATTTTTAAGAAAGCTGCAATTGAAACCATATGTTTTTCTTTAGCAAAAAGACTTACTTGGAAGTCGTCCGTATGGGTTTCAGCAAATTCAAGCCATGGTGGTATTTGCCCTTGTGACGCTCCTCATCCAACATTCTCATCTGGGAATGTATGGAGGTATCCAGAGGTAGGCCTTCTGCTCGAGCTGCTGCTTCCAAGGCATCTTGGCATTCCACCTGCTTTTACAAACGAGACAATGGAGTCTGAAATTCCAAAAAATCCATCATTTCTATCTCCAGCAACTCAACACCTGTAATTGCTGGGGATCGTTGTGATGGTGTATTACAAGTGCAAGGGATGGTCTAGCAATGGCAGAAACACAGAAGATGCATTCTAGATCTGCTTGAGGTCTCTGGATTTCTAGGATGCTGGAGCTCAATGATGTAGTACCTATGCATTTTTGGGTGTCAGAGGATTAGGAATAATCTAAATCTGTGTCTTGTTACTAAGCCAGTACCAAAAGCATTAGGGCAGTGATTTTCAACCAGAGTGCCATGGCATCCTGGGGTGCCTTGGGATTCTTTCATGGGTTCTGTGGGGTTCCACACAATGTGAGCACTGGTAGGTGCGCAAACATGATTCACAAAATAAACCCCGAGATTGCAACTAGGAATCCAGAGTGTTAGAAAGACCACAATAGATCAGAACATTTGAAATCTTTGCAACAGAAGAATTCCTCTATTGATTTTTGACTACAGAAAAGTAAGTAAAAACTAAGAACTGACATTTTCCAAAGCATGCCTTGAGTCTAAAATCCACAGCTTTAGGGAAGGGTGTATAACTCCCATAATGGACAACTGTACAACACATGCAATGTGAGATGATCTCATAAATTCAGATAATTAATTATTGGCTTATGTTCTGAAGACTGAGG